TCCCTCCAATTTTTCAATTGTAAAATTTGCCATTTCCAAATTAAATTGTCCAGTAAACATCAGTAAAGTAAATGGCTGCTAATCTTGAGCAAATTAATTGGGTAGCGAGCTGTAAAGAAGCGAATGGCTACTAATCTTGAGCAAATTAATTGGGTAGCGAGCTGTCAAAAAGTAAATGCCATGTAAATATTCTGTGTGGTGCACAAAGAGGCATGTTTTGGAATTCGTTCTCATTCTATTCAACCAAAACGAAAATCATTAGTATACTCTGAAATCTTACATACAATATTTGAAGTGAATGGTAGAGTGATAATGAAGTATATATATTAATCACAGAGAAGTGCTGTAATGAGTAAGCTAGAGGTCCCCTTGGCTCAAGATACGAGACAATCAGAGGCTACAAGTTCCCGTTTGGAAATTGATCTAGAGCGTTAATTTGCCAGTTCAACGGTTCAAGGGAGAGAAAACTCGAAAAGCTCATGAAATTAATAAACTCAGAAGCATGTTACACGCGGAAAATTCGAAAAAAAAAAAATGGATAATCGTGTCTTTGTTTTCTTGTAATGGCAACATTTGTCCTCCAACAAAACCTACTTTGCACTCTTACAGAGAGTTTCTATTTTACCCAACAGAACTCAACACAGCTATAAGCAAACTATCAAAAAGTCCTTGAGTATTTCCTAATCTCGTACATAATTGACGATATGGAAACTAAGTCCTTGTTCAACCCGGACCCGCCAGCAATTCTCTTCATGCAATCCGAGAGCCTCGTGTAATAAAGCAGTAGTTGAGTCAATGCAGCTCTCAGGATTTCCATACCGCATAGAAAATTGCTGAAGGAAGTTATAACGTCATTGTGCATTAGCTCTATAGCCGCCTTCCATCTACTGGCAAAGTCCTTGATAATCGGCTCAACTTCAGCCACAGTAATTGCACGCTCTGGACCAGAAACAGGGTCCTCCGCTGAAAAAAAAAAAAGGGGGGATAAAATCAAACAATTGTTCGATATTTCATGACATGTAGTTTCCCAAAAGTTGAATTCAAGAGTTAAAATTTGCGATACGTACAAGCTCTGGTCTTCACAAACTTGATTAGATCCTTGAAGTGCTCCACAAGTAGTTCCTCCTTTATTATTGACAAAAAATAACATATAATTAAAAAAATTGGCCCAAGAATAAATTTTTGAGCCCTTCCATTACGTACAGTTAGCTGTTCTTGTCCATTAAAACACATTTGGAATGTATAATCAGATTCTGAAATGTTTTCGGTATTTCTATAAAGATATACAACTTGGTGGTGGTGTCATTTCATCTACGGTGGGTTTTTTAACAAGATCGTGTCAATGTAACTTACCACATAAATGGCTGTATTGCTCTTCAGCAAATCCTCGAAGTGCATTTGGATTTTTCCACCCTCAGGAACAGCTTCCTGAAACATGCATGTTCACCTTTAGAAAAACAACATTTGACATGCTGATTGCACATATCCTAGACAAACAAGAATATTAAAGTTTTTATGATACATAGATAGTTGTGAAGCCATAACTTAAACTACTGCTACTCCTACTTAGTACACACTTCATCTTTTGGATAAGAATGGATCAGATTCTACGCAAGTACCAAAATTTACCTTCAAAACAGCAATAGTCATGTCGTAGTTATTTATCAAAAATATAGTCTGCGACTTTGGTTTCTGAAACAATTTGGCAAGCTTAACCAGCAAATCATCAACAGCCATTCGCAGCCTCTCCAAGTTGAGTTCAAGCTGTGAAGTTTAGACAGTTTTATGGAGGAAATAAAATATATATAAAATATTACCCCATGAGAACCATATTGAATACCAATCAATCAAGGTAACAGTTAGCAAAGAGCTGAAAAGCTAAGAGCGATTGTGCGCGCATTTTCTAACCTGACCGTCTTCATAATCAGCATTAAGTTGAATTAGCGAAGCAGTAAATTCGGCATAACGCCTCATGACATAATGTGGATGTACGTCGTCTTCCCATAAAGTCCTCACATTGGCATTTCGTAGACTGTTGAGGTGCAAGTCGAACACCATCTTAAACCGTGGCCATAATGAAATGTTGACCTGCTCAGATTTCATCAGAGAATGTGATTTGAGTGAATTAACTCTTCAGAGTACACACCAAAAGACTCCGAGGGAAAGACAACTGGTCTTCAGGTATTAGAAAGAATCTTATAGCTTGAAAGCATCTTGTGAAGACTAAAGTGCAATTAGTGATCACGCATTCACGCTATTTGGATAATCTAAAACTCTCCACCGCAGAAACAACTCTGCTGCCGGGTTGCCAATTTTAAGAAGATTGAACAGTTGACTAGAATTTACATGTTATTTAAGCTATCAGGACCAATCTTTGGTCAAATAGAAGCCTAATTCAAGGCTGATTTAATGCTGCTTTAAACATGGCCCACGATTTCTAATCACCGAAGTCAGGTAAAACTGAAGTCCTATTAGAGACTGGTTCCATGCCGTTTAATCATGGCCCAAGGTCTTTAATATCTCTTGATTTACTGATTTAATGCAGTTTACGTCAGTTGCAGGGACAACAAAAGTTAAAAAATCAATGTTCTTAGGTCCATCATTCGTTCAAAAAATGGCAATAGCATTGAGGTTTGAGATACAATACAACTTTCAGCTGTTAATTTATACAATTAACAGAAGCAGCTCACTTGAACAAAATCCACACCTGTCATGTCTTTGTTGCCCACATACGCAGTTAAAGTTGACGGTGTGCTTAGTGACAGTTACAGGATACATGACAAAGCTATTAGAAGGTACAGCATAAATAAAGTCACATGCACCAATAAATTGGAAAATACCTTGTCCAAGTAAGAATCTAGACATGGTATGCGTCGCCGAGACATTACAAGCTGAGAAAATACAAGAAAATAATGAGAAACTAAAAATGTAAAACCAAATATTCTCAAATAAAAAATTGGCTCCACAAAAAAATGGTTAGTACATAAACAGCTGAATTGAAAGAAGTATACAACTAGCAACCTACATCCGCATGAAGTACATTACTGACCGTGATTTATCTTTCTGGGAGGACGACAGAGAGAAAACATCGGAGTATTTTGGATTTTGAAGAAAAGTCAAAACATTAATAATATGGCCTCAACACATCTGTGCAACCCCAAAATTTGCATCACAGGAATTTAAAGGAACACTTGAATTGAAACAGGTTTTGACGAGTTAAGTAAACTTAACAATTTTCATTTGCTGTACCAAACTGAGAATTTCACATTGCTCGAAATATAAAATATAAAATGTGAATCCATACAAATCAATGAAAACTATAATGGGAAGGAAACAGAATAGACCGAATTTAGACTATAAAGCTGGGATATTTGTTTGGAATTCAATATGGAGAATCCACCATCAGTGCATCATTTTACCTGGTGCTGATATATTATGCGAATCATGAGCATCAGGCCTATTGCATCATAACAGTTCGGAAGAATACTATTAACGTGTTCGTCAATTACTGAGAAGGGACCTGATATTTCAGAAAAATGCTGTGTCAGAGGGAAGTGACTCAATTGTTATTTTGGGATTATATATTGGAAGGACATTAATATGTCAACATTTCTTTATCATCAGACCAATATGATAAAAATTCAAACTTTCTGAACCGTGGGCTAGGTCATTGGTAGACTTAAATACCTGCAAATATGTCATAAAACATGGACTGTTCTCCAAAGAATTCGTCACAGAAGAGATATCTGAAAAGATTAACTACATTAACTCAAACGACACATTAGGTAAAACCCAACATATTGCAGAATATACGCACTGTTANTTCAAAAAAAAAAAAAAAAATTAAAAAAAAAAAAAAAGATAAAAAGAAGAAGATAGTCCATTATTACTCAGAAGCAGCAGTGTCCATTAGCAGCTTGTGCAGGCTCCTGAAAAGTACTTCATAAGGATACTTTTTAGAGTTGGCTTCAGCTATATGTGGTATCAATGCAGATTCCTCAATTTCCTATCCGCAAATAGTATAATCATTAAAATCCATATGAGAAAGAAACAACTTTATAGTCAGAATCTTAAAGCCAAGGGCAGAAAGTATTAAATTTAATGACGCATGGTTACTATGCACTGACAATAAGTAGTCAAGACAATGTTTCACTGCAATAGATTCAACCTTGAGAATATTTATCCTTTCCCCTACAGAAAAAACAGAAGACCGGTTTTTCAGTGGTTCTCTTCCCCTCAGGAAAAGACTAGTACTTCTGGTGTCGACACCAATCAAATCGCTGGATGTTGCTATATCTAGTTGCAACTTCTCCAGGGCTTGAATATAAGCTCGTATATTTGTACTTAAAACCTGCAAAACAAAAATGGCAACAGGATGTGTAAGGTTAAGTTCTTTCAGAAAGGGGCCTCTCGATTGACTAGTAAAGTGTAAGGCAAGCACCCCACAGACAACTTAGAAAGAATAGCATCAAGGGGAAAAGAAAGACACAATGGCCTCATTCAGTGACATAAGGAAGATGACGCTCGATACAAGCCAAAGAAAAAATCAGTTAATATCCAGTTGAGATAAGATAATTGAAAGGGGAATTTCAAATTTCCTAAAAGCTATCATTCATCCGAGTGCCTTATATGGCCATTATATAATTTTTCAGGGTGGATCCGTATTCTTCAAAATCCTTTTCATATAATTAGCAGCTTCAACCCATTCAACAGATGTAAAAGACTATCTAGAGGTCCCTCTTTCTAATCAATGACTCTGAAAATTGCAGCAGAGCTTAAAACCAAGATAAGAGAAATGAAGGCACAAACACCTAAGGTAACATCAACTAATTTCCCCCAAAAAGTACAAGCCCACCAATTGTTGTTCATAGAGACTTTGTTTAACAGATGGAAACCCAGTCCTGAGGATGAGAATCCTGATAGTTATCAATTTCATAGAAAACATAAAACAAAGATAAGAAGCAAGTCGTCAGTTTTCTCACAAGCTGTTGTAGTGGGAACTTAAAGAAACTGATGAATGCTGGGCATGAAGCAGTCAACATGAACACATCAAGAATTAATCCAAATCTGTGAATTCTTGTAATGTGTAAAGCATCTCACCTTATTCATGGTATCAATATAAGCAGCTCTAACATCAACATATACCTCTTTCCCATGGTCCTTAAGAAATGAAATCACATATCTGCACATGGAAAATAATTATGAAGCCTGAAAACTACACAAACATCAAGTGATATTCATATAACAATCTGTAAGCATACATTGAACAACACAAACATCAAGAGATATCCATTAAGGACCTAAAAGGACCAAGAGAAATCCCACATAAATATCTCATCTATTCAGAACAAGCATACTTCTTTTGCATGTAAATGATGTCACTAGAATCAAAGATTAATTACATAAATACCTACTTCTAAATTGGCAAAAACGCATGCAACTCAAGTTATGTCGACATCACTTGTAACATCAACAGAAGATAAGGTATAATCTAGATTACAGGTACAACATACAAAAGTAAAAGTCCAGCTCTGGACACAAAACTCTTATACATGCACATTTGCATCTTTGTAGGTTAGAAGCAGAAAACACCATGACGAAAGACCAGAGCACAATGTGCCCTAATTTTTTTCGATCAGTCCACAAAATAAAAAAAATTAGCGACAATCAAATGATGTAAAAGTTATTCCAGCTTCAGTTCTTAAACACACACACACACAGGGAGGGAGAGGGAGAAAGAGAGAGAGAGAGAGAGAGAGAGAGAGAGAGTAACTAGGATTTTGGTGGCTAAACTAAGAAATCAAATGGTAAAAACAGCATGGACCTAAATAGGCATATAAACATGACAAAGACTGAAATTATTGGATGAAATAACACATTAATTTCATAAATAACTAGAATTTCTTAGACCGCATACTGATACATGCATTTGTCATATTTTATATCCGACATAACTTACTTGTATTTCAGAAGAACACTTTGTTGAAGGATCTGAACATTTGTCTTCGGTTTTCTTAATGCATTAAGTTTCTGAACGATGAAGTCGTATACCTTTAGGAAGTGGTACGAAATAGAAAATGATTAGGTTGAGGTGTATAATTAAATTCCATAATCTTTTATCAATTGCTAATTAGATATACAGTGGCTAATTCAAACAAAGAAAAATGTATTTACATAACATGAACACAAGATAAACTTGTGAAACTTAATATTTCATAAAGTAACACAGAGGATGGACTATAGGCCAAAATAATATAGGACCACTAAGTTATTTATTGTAGTGAATAAGACGGAGTCCAATCATATTGTAACATTGGTGGCAGAAGAATGATATGTTTAAGTTTAACAACTGCAAAGTTCCCTATATGATGTATAAGGAATACTGAATGTTTAAAGTCCACAAAGGTCAGCTCGCAAAAACTACTTAAGGTGGCGTCAATGAACTCCACTAAAGCAGTACAGTAATAATTGTGTTACATAATGCATGGAACCGAATACTGGAAACAAAAAAGTTATCCTGCCTAACATTTTCTCCTCGACACTTTTTCATCATTCTATTTACATCAACGACGTACATTGCACCAAAACAAAACCAGTTGTCTGTTATGTTGCTGGTGGAAGTCATCATTTTACTTCACCACCCATGATGCTATCATCAAGAGATAATAATTACGGATATTTTGAGGATAGGTTTAAAAGAGCTTTGACTACTGGATATGTCTGTGTCGAAGTATCCCAGCACTCTTAGCATTAAGCAAAGGACAGCCAAAAAAATGGGGAACAACAGAAGTTTGATATCCATATAATATACACGTGAAAACACATGCGCTGACCCCACTTGATTTCGCCAATTCGATAAATATTTGATCTGGTCAGTTTATCAAATGGCGGCCATGGTGGTATGGCGTGGCGAATTTCTGCCTAACTGCCAAGTAAAATTTGTAAAGGATGGCGGTTATGGAGGCGTCATAGGCCGCCACAGCTGCCGCTATGGCGGATTTTGGCCTGCCGCTATTTAGCGCCATCCACCATTAATAACACTGGATCTGATGATACCTTAAAAACTGCTTTTTGACGAAGCTTTTCTAGTTCAGGCTGAACATCACTGAGTGCTTTGGAAGTCTTAACCATGGCATCAGCTTCAACAAATTTCAGTTTTTTACTAAGAATCTCCAGGGACCTCAAGTACTCCTCATTCACCTGTACATATTTTACAACATGTTACTAATAATGACATAGAGCAACAGAGTGATACATAAAACCACCAATCACCATCTTCTGCAGGATATAAATGACAATATGGACTCGAGTAGGGTTGAGTAACTGTTTAGATGGCAGGACTTTGTCTGCAATGTGATAGTGTGCCTATATGTGATACTAAAATTCCCAAGCTATATAACACTGAAACATCTGAAGTTCAAAGAATAGTAACCTCCAAAGCCAAGCATTAGCAATGGATCCAAATAGCAGGACACTGGAGGGCTAAGTCTAGGTTCCCAAGACATCCGTGCGATCTTCGTCTAAGATGGTTTCTTCAATCCTTTTATTTTAAGATTAGTACTTAATTCTTTTTTTTTTTAAGTTCTGTAGAATGCAATCCAAGGTAACTTTATCCAGTGATTTTCTTATGTATTAGAAAGAAAGCAAATAAAGGACTTGATATACACTGCACTTGAATTAACATCAGTTGAAACTAAAGACATTAACCATTGGTCTTATGTATTTAAACAACACAGTAATTGTCATATAATAGAAATAGAAAGATAGTGGCAGTAAGTGAGGAAGGAATATCTATCAGTGCATCATGCATAAAAAATTCTAACTATCCAAATCTATGAAGAAGAGTTCGAGGGAACTGAATCAAGAAAAGTACCTCTCCATCTACAATAATGTCTATCATCCTTGGCGGGACAATGATTTCCTCAACAAATTTAGCCAATTTTGATTCTGCAGCCTGGAAAAGCAGATAACAAGTTCTGAAGAGCTTCATAACGCAAAATTCACCAGCAAATTTGAATATTCACAAATAAGAAACAATCTTTCTATAGAACCTAAAACTAATTGCAGGGTGAATTCTACATTCAAATAACTTATACTAACATACAAAACAGAGTAGCATGGGAATAGAGGCTAGGATGGTATGATAGATTCTTAGCCACGTTTTCTGGAATGTCGAAACATGGCAACCTTTTCTACCAGTTCCTTCTTTTGAATATTTTTTTTCCAACTTTTATTGTGTTTGCTAAGCACAAATCAACAGGTTATAACAAAGAGAAAATACTGGAGAAAAATTTATATGGGACTGGTTTTTCCATTTCACTATTTCTTTCACCATTCAGATTTGCATGCATAATTTTTGGAACTAGACTCAATCTTTTGCATAATTCTCAGAATGCGAAAGATCGGAGAAGAAAACTTGGTTTTCATTTGACATAAAAAGCACAACAATTAACCTACGGAATATTCATTGCCTTTGTCTTCAGTTTTATTATCAAAGACCCCAGGAGAATTATAAAACAAAGTATAGCAAACCAAAGAAACAGATGTTATATGATGTCAATTATTAACAACGTTTACTCACAAATATATGAAACAGACTTACCTTTCGATTCTTCAGCTTGAGCCCCATATCCAAAGACTTTTCTTGAAGAATCTTTATATCTGAACTTATTGAACCTATCTCGACCTAACAAATGATAGAAACTGTATGATTTTTGTTGATTACAAACTACTTTAGATATTAATCGTAAGAGCTAAAAAAATCAAAAGCTAGGAATAATATTATGTAACACCATAAACAAGGCTGGTTCTCCAGAAGTTCCTTTGAAAAAATGTAAATACAAAAATAAAAAATGCGGTAATAATTTTCAGAAGGACAAAGATAAAAGTTGGTTTTTCTTTGATCTGCATTTATTCTGATTTATATTGCCAATGCATTCATTTCCATTCTTATCTCAAGGGTTACGCATTTTATATGATATATTTCTAGTGTTAAGGAACTTCTCACGCCATACACCTAAGTAGTGTCATCTAGAGAAATGAGAAGCAGCTAAGAGTAATTGAGACAATAAATGATACCTGAAATCCACTGAGAACCTTCTCCATTTGCGACAGAATAGTGTCACAATCATGAATTTGATCGTGAAGTGATACTAGATTGTCACTTTCTTTGATGTAATCCTGACATGAATATAAAGGTAAAAGATCACAAGTAAGAATAGCAAAATGAGTCCCACATATCAACACATACATGGCTTATTTCTGATATATATAAAATATAACATCGGTGCTACAAATCAACGAACTACAAAAATATTACTGAGTGGCATCTCCGCATGTAAACAGAACTGGACTATATTCCTCTAAATTGTTGACCATTATAATCATTCACAAATGTAATGGAAGATGAGAAGTTCCACAATGTACTAAACAATATTGCAAGAAATAAGCATGCGGGTAACTGAGTATGCCTAGAAAAAAGAAGAACTGGTCTATTGAATTTGAACCTCGATAGAGTCGAGTTCAATTTGCCTTAAATTGTTCTCAACATCCCTGGTGTAGTCCCGCAATTTTGTACCTTTAGACAGTATCATGGAAACTACCTTCACGGCAAAAACCACAAAAAATGTATAAGTGGTACAAATTATGGATTTCATCAACTGAACAGATTGTAGAAACTGTAGTTTACATACATCATCAGTTTTACAATCTTGAAGCTCTTGCTCAAGTCCCTCCAATGAAATAGCATCACTAGCAGAAGAAAAAGACCGGCCACACATTCAAAAATTACGAAACATAAGCAATGAAGCAATGAAAGTGCAAACTTTTCCATTCAAACTATAAACAACTTAAAACCTTTCTTCATCATCTTCAACGCTTAATTCGCCAATAAATGCCCCCAAATCCAGCACAGGCCTCTGCTCATCTATTGTCTCCACCTATACACCCATTGCCCCAAATCAGATCATACATGAAGATCGAATTTTAACAAAGAGCCCCAGAAACGAATACATGAATTAAAGGGTAATTAACATATAAAAGATGAAAGGGGGTTAGAGTTTACTGGTTGATTTGCAGCCAGCTCGGTCCCCATTCTCGGAACTCGTTGCCTGTAGTAAACCGTACACACAAACAGCACGAAACAAAGAAACGAGAGTTAGAGATAGGTGAATAAACTGAGCTGGAGATCTCGGATCAGAATTCAGATCACGGAGCTAAGGTTGCTTATCAGTATTTTGATATTTTCTCTTTTTTTCCTCCGAAATTCGCTGCTAAGATTAACTTTTCCAGTTGCTTGTCGACAAAATTACTAGAAGCCCTCATGAAATCGTAGATCACATTTATATTCAAAAAAAAATAAATAAATATATATATATATATATCAAGTATCACGTATCTTCCTTAACAAGAGTCAAGTGAATAAAGGAAGCCTGTTCCGAAGTAAAAATTCCCCACCTGAGACCGGAAGATGACGGTTCCCTAGTCGGAAAGTTGAGGTCCGGTTGATTGCAGCGGGAATGGTGGAGGTATCAGGTGGGTATGAGCTCACTCAAGAAAGACGATAAACGCATAAAATGATTTGTCACCTCTTGTCAATATTAAATTTTATGATTTTCACTAAGGTTGTCAGAATAACCCACTGGTCGCGGGTAACCCGAAAAATCGGGTCGGGTAGACCCGGACATACTGAGTTGCTGGTCGTACTTGGGTTTAATAAAAAAATTCAATATTCGACCCGTTTACTTGGTGAGTTTTTTACGCGACCCGTCTTTTTACTCGCTCAATTAGCCGCACACCTAATAACTATAGATGTAAATAAATATACAAAAAATACATGTTCCAAAACTAATAATTTAGTAAATAATTTTTTTTTAAAATTTTTTATAGATATTGAAGAATGAAGATGGAGTATATTCATATAATTTAGGACCTAACTTTTTGTTACTTCTTCTATTTTATCTAGTTTATACAATATATAAATTATACATCTTTATAAGTATGAGTATCACATATATAAATATGATCAATTAATAGTTCTTTATACAAAAAGAATAGCTCTAATCACTAGACATACCGTATATAACTATATATAATAAATAATGATAAACTAGATAAATAAGTTTATACTATAGTTTATTCTGTATATTTACATCTTTACAAATATTACAAACTATGAGTAATTAAATATTATCCGAGTAAAATGCTATGTATAAATCTATAATGTTGTTTCTTTGGAGTATGATTGGCAATTCGTGAAACTCCAAAATAGTGTATAATATGCGAGATATCTAATAGCATACTATAGCACATCACATATAAGTTATGTGTTAAATTTAGACAACTATTTATTTTTCTTTTTTATTTTTATTAAGTGTTAGATATCTCTCGCTATATCATTCAAATAAATAGTATATTGTCAATTTGAATTTAAAAGTACATCTTATTACATATTGTTTAACAAAAACAAAAATTAATGTAAGTCGTATATTTTATAATCATGTTTTATAATTTATTCTATATTTCAATATAATTTCTTCACCCTGGATAAATAGAAAGTAGAACGTAGATGTGAACTATAATTATGTAGAAGGATATTATATGTTGAATTTACCAATTCTCTATGCCCATAATTTGTTTCTTTAAATTACCAATACTTATAGGTAGTATTATTTTACGTATCATGATCTCTCTAACTTAAAAACTTGTGTACTCCTTCATTTTTAAGATATAGTTAAGAATGTCAAATATATGTTAAAAAAAATATTCTTTAATCAACTAAAAACATAAAAACAATCGTGCGAATGGTTTGGTATATAGATTGTGGCTTTTAACTTGATATGTTTTACATATTAAACAATAACATTTAAATTACTTATGTTCACTTACTTTATTACATAAAAATGGTCGTCTAGTATTAAAGACTATTTCATTTAATCATTTGTTTGCCCTATAAATCAAACTCACTAAATACATCTTTAACAACTCTCACGACTATCACTCAAATAACTTATACAGTTCAAGCTTGCATAGGTTGAAATTGAATATAAGTGTCTTTTCTTGTTATTCTTGCACAAAAAAGTTATTTAAAAGTAAAACATACTATTAACTTATTGTTTGGTGAGAAATACATATTTTGTTACGAACATTTTATTTTTCACAAATAAGAATTTATGTGAGTTGCATTTAAAATACTTTGGATAATCGGGTAACGGGCTGGGTACGGGTACATTTTTTAACAGGCAGGTCAGGTACGGGTATGTCAAAACCCGAACCCGGCCCGACCCATTTACATCTCTAATTTTTCACTTTTCAGTGAGGATTTTGAACACTGTATATTTTATTAGTGTCTTTTTTTTTTTTTG